TACAATAACCAACGACAATTCACTACTTAAAAAGCAGCAACTCTCTTGCTACTGGGCTCCTGTAGAGACTACATGATCATGGATCTAGTATATTCATTCGTTCACTAGGACTGCTATAACAAAGTGCCACAAACTGGGTGGCTTAAACAACAGAAATTTGTTATCTCTCACTTCTAGGAGCTATAAATTCAAAATCGATAGATCACAGGATTGGTTCCTTTTGAAGACTATGAGACAAAGAAAGATTCACTGTGATATGGTTTGGCTGAGATTTGTCCTCACCCAAATCTCATCTTGAATTGTAGCTCCCATAATTCCCACATGTTGTGGGAGTGACCCAGTGGGAGGTAATTGAATCATGGGGGACAGGTCTTTCCCATGTTGTTCTCATGATGGTGAATAAGTCTCACGAGATCTGATGGTTTTATAAAGGGGGGTTCCCCTACACAAGCTCTCTTGCCTACCACCACGTAAGGCATGACTTTGCCCCTCATTTGCCTTCAGCCAGGATTGTGAGACCTCCCCAGACATGTGGAACTGTGAGTCAATTAAGCCTCTTTCCTTTATAGATTACCCAGTCTTGGTTATGTCTTTATTAGCAGTGTTGAGAACAGACTCATACAGTAAACTGGTACCAGGAGTGGGGTTCTACTGTAAAGATACCCAAAAATGTGGAAGAGACTTTGGAACCAGGTAACAGGCAAAGGTTGGAACAGTTTGAAGGGCTCAGAAGAAGACAGGAAGATGTGGGAAAGTTTGGAACTTCCTAGAAACTTGTCGAATGGCTTTGGCCAAAATGCTGTTAGTGATATGGACAATAAAGTCCAGGCTGAGGTGGTCTCATGCAGGTGAGGAACTTGTTAAGAACAGGAGCAGTGGCGACTCTTGCTATGTTTTAGCAAAGAGACTGGTGGCATTTTGCCTCTGCCCTAGAGATTTGTGGAACTTTGAACTAGAGAGAGATTATTTACGGCATCTGGCAAAAATTTCTAAGAAGCAAAGCATTCAAAAGGTGACTTGGGTACAGTTAAAAGCATTCAGTTTTATGCATTCACAAAGATATGGTGTGGAATTGGAACTTATGTTTAAAAGCGAAGCAGAGAATAAAAGTTTGGAAAATTCGCAGCCTGATGATGCAATTAAAATGAAAACCCCATTTTCTGAGGAGAAATTCAAGCTGCCTGCAGAAACGAGGAGCCAAATGTTAATCGCTAAAACAATGGGAAAAATGTCTCCATGGCAAGTCAGGTCTTCACACAGCCCCTCCCATCATGAGCCAGGAGGCCTAGGAAACAAAAACGGTTTCATGGGCTAGGCCCAGGGCCTTGCTGCTTTGTGCAGCCTTGGGACTTGGTGCCCTGTGTCCCAGCTGTGGTTAAAAGGGGCCAATGTAGAGCTCAAGCCATTGCTTCAGAGAAGCAAGCCCCATGCCTTGGCAGCTTACATGTAGTGTTGGGCATGTGGGTACACAGAAGTCAAGAATTGAGGTTTGGGAACCTATGCCTGGATTTCAGAGGATGAATGTAAACTCCCAGATGCCCAGGCAGAGGTGTACTGTAGGAGCAGAACCATCACAGAGAACCTCTACTAGGGCAGTGCAGAAGGGAAATGTGGGATATGAGCCCCCACACAGAGTCCCCTCTGGGTCACTGCCTAATGGAGCTGTGAGAAGAGGGCCACCGTCCTCCAGACCCAGAAAGGTAGATCCAGGAACAGCTTGTTCCATGTACCTGGAAAAGCCACATATACTCAATGCCAGCCTGTGAAAGCAGCCAGGAGGGGGCCTGAACCCTGCAAAACCACAGGAGCAGAGCTGCCCAAGACAATGGGAACCCACTTCTTGCATCAGCATGACTTGGATGTGAGACATGAAGTCAAAGGAGATCATTTTGGAGCTTTAAGATTTGACTGCCTCGCTGGATTTTGGATTTGCATGGCACCTGTAGCCCCTTCATTTTGACCAGTTTCTCCAATTTGGAATGGTTGTATTTACCCAATGCCTATAATCCCATTATATCTAGGAAGTAACTAACTTGCTTTTGATTTTACAGAGTCATAGGCGGAAGGAACTTGCCTTGTCTCAGATGAAACTTTGGACTGTGGACTTTTGAGTCAATGCTGAAATGAGTTAAGACTTGGGGGACTGTTAGCATGGCATGATTGGTTTTGAAATGTGAGGACATGAGATTTGGGAGGGACCAGGGGTGGAATGATATGGTTTGGCGGTGTCCTCACCCAAATCTCATCTTGAATTGTAGCTCCCATGATTCCCATGTATTGTGGGAGGGACCTAGTAGGAGGTAAATGAATTATGAGAGTAGGTCTTTCCTGTGCTGTTCTTGTGATAGTGAATAAGTCTCATAAGATCTGAGGATTTTATAAAGGGGAGTTCCCCTACACAAGCTCTCTTGCCTGCCATCATGTAAGACACGACTTTGCTCCTCATTCGCCTTCAGCCATGATTGTGACTCCCCAGCATGTGGAAGTGTGAGTCAATTAACTCTTTCTTTTATAAATTACCCAGTCTCAGGTATGTCTTTATTAGCAGCATGAGAACAGATGAATACATACTGCAAGCTTCTCCTTGGCTTATAGCTGCCATGTTTTCCTGTGTTTCTTCACATTGTCTTCACTCTGTCTCTCTCTGTATCCAAATGTCTCCTTTTTATAAGATTATCAGTCATATTGGATTGGGGCCCACCCTAGTGACTTCATTTTAAATTGATTAACTCTGTAAAAACCCTATATTCAAATAATGTCACACTCTGAAGTCCTAAAGGTTAGGATTCTAATATATCTTCTGGGGAGTCACAATTCAATCCATAACACCATAACACCAAAGTAACTGCACAACCTAGCTACCCTGATGAACTGAGTGTCGCCTAACACACCACATGATAAAATTGGGCATTTGCAGGAGCATTCTATTATTAAGTGAAAATGGTATCTACATGATAAAGGAGATAAGCCCACCAGGTCCACAAGACACAAGAAACTCAGACTAGCAGAAAACTTAGACTCTATGATGCCTTCTCCCACTGCCTCAATGTCTCTCAGTGCACACCTATAGCTTCACAAGGAAGTTCCTGTAACCAGGCAACAGATGAGGGAAAGGAGTCAACGTTACGCAAAGTAAGCTGGCACTAGCAATAAGTAGATGGCTGCTGCATCAGAGTCCCTCCCAGGGATGTCCTGAAACACAGCAGAAGGGGAAATCTTACTAACAAACAGAATTCTGAGCAGAACATCTGCTTTTCTATTTTGCAAGGAAAAAGAGATGGCCTGATGTAAGATCTACACTGACTCATCTTCGGTGGCTAATGTGTTGGCCAGCTGCTACCTTAAGGATTTGGAATAAACAAGATTGAAAGAGTGGTGACACAGAGGTCAAGGTGGGGGAGGCATGTGAAAGAGTCTCTTGAAATGGGCACAGGGTGTGAAGATATTTGCGTCTCATGGAGTGCCCTCCAGAGAACAAATTGACCTGTCCCGTAGATGTCAGCCAGCCTCCTGTCAGCTTCCTTGGAGCTTGCTGAATGTATAGTGAGTGCCATGGTGCTGGCATGGAGGTGAAGCACAGGCTCAACTCTCCGGACTTCCTTCACCGAGGCTGATGTGGCTACCACCAATGCTGAGTGAGCAAAATGCTGAGAGCAAAGGGCAGCACTGAGGCCCCTGTGGCACCATTCCCCGTAGTCCGTGTCAGATGGCCTCTCTTCACAGCATCGGCTCACAGGTCCAGTAACACCATTGACTCACCTTCATCAGCAGTTGGAAAAGGGAGGAGGAGAGTCAGTTTCAGCCTCTGGAGTTGGGGGTGGGTGAGGATGCGGATGTACCACAAGCAACTAGTGGGCAAGGGGGAAAAGATGACTGAGTTCAAAAGCTATGTCTGGATTGGAAATAAAAGATGGAAAATTGCATTAATTCATAATCATGTGGTAATGCCCCATAGGACTCTGCATTCTTAATCTTTTACCTCTACTGACAGAGAGGCTTTGCTTTTCACCTGCAGCGAACAAGCTGAAGAGGCCTGATCCTCTTATCTGCAAGAGTAGAAGTAATCAAGGAGGGGCCCTAAAGGCAAATGTTTACCTGTGTATTTTATGGTGAAAGTGCCAAGGGTCCAGACCTCACCTCTCTTGTCCCACTTTATTTCCAGTACCTGGAAGAGAGGCTGGCACATTGTAACCTCTCAAACATCTGTGGATGAGTGGAATAAATGGGAGGATGCAGGAATGAATGAACGAATGAATAACCCTTCAGGGAATAACAGGGAGCTGGGGGAGGGAGAAGCCATACCTGATCTTTTATTCTTCTCCAAAACCCTTGAAAACACTGAACGAGGAGAGGCCGCATAGACTAGCCATTAAGACCTTGAACTCCTAATTGAGGATCTACAACTTCCTAGCTGAATAGCTTGGCCAAGTTATTTATTCTCTGTGCACAGGCTTCCTTCCTGTAAAACAAACACAGTAAATGCTTAGAGCAGCACCTGGGAAAAAGTCAAGTTCCACATAAGTGTTACTCATTATTTTTGGCATTTTGATGAGTGTGTAAGCCTGCAAGACAATCGGGAAATTCTCTGGGGAGGGTGAATCCAGATACTCAGCTTCCAAGGGCCATTCATGAGGGAACAATCACCTTTTCTCTTTGCCTTTCATACAGCTTTAGACACCTGACTGCCTCCTAACATAACTTTCACTGGCAAGAGACAGAGGCCTGGGTTTTAGTTTCAGTTGCCAGCGGTGAGCTGTGTGAGTTTACCAAAGCCCTCTGCCCTCTCTGGGCCTCGGTCCCTCGCCTGTCCACGCGAGGTTGGAGGAGCTGAACGCCGACGTCCTTTTCAGCTAAGAGGGAGCAGGGTCCTCGCGTCGCCGACCCAGGGTCTGCGCATCTGAGGCCGCGCGCCCTTTCCCCTCCCCCACGGCTCCTCTGGGCCTCGCACCCAGCGCCCCGGCTGCCGCCCAGCGCCCCGCACCGCCCTCAGGGGGCCCTCGCGGGCTCCTCCCGGCCGGAATGCCAGTGCCCCGCGCCCCGCGCGCCTGCTCCGGCGCCGCCTGTCCAGCAGCCTACCCGCGGCGCCTTTATACCCTGCGGGCTGGGCGCTCACTAATGTTTAACTCTGGGCCGAAACTTGCCAGCGGCGAGTGACTCCACCGCCCGGAGCAGTGGAGCAGGACGCGCCTCTCCGCCGCCGGCTGTGACTTCTGCCTGCGCTCCTTCACTGAACGCACACTTCCGAGGAGACGCCGACGATGAAGGTGAGTTCCACGCCATGCACTTCCCCAGCCCACGGGGCGAGCTGTGGGGACCTCTTCGCCAAACTCCCCAAATGGCCCCAAAGCTGGCGAAACCGGAGCAGGGACTCCCCTTAGGCGGAAGCCCCAAGGCTACCCTCTGACAGGTGAAGGGACGTCCCAGAGCTGTCTCTTAGCTCTCGGACTCTGGTTTCTGCTAGGACCCTGGCGTCGAGCTTTAAATGTCCCGGAAAGCCACCCACAGATCGCACGCCTAAACTCGGGCAGGGGTAGAGAAACCAACACTAATGTGCTCTGAAGGCACAAGTTCAAGGGCACCCGCCTTAGAGAACTCCGACTGGCGCACTCCAGACGCCACCCCCACCCCCAGTCCACAGTGTCCCTCTTCTAACGCACTCCCACCTGCAAATCCTGCTGCCTCTGGAGCAGCTCCGACCCTCCTACGGAAACTGGGGCCACACGCTTCCCTCTAATTGGACTTGATCTGCCCGGCTTGCAGACAGCGTGGAAGGTTCTCCTGGGACTGCTGGGTGCTGCTGCGCTTGTCACCATCATCACCGTGCCCGTGGTTCTGCTGAACAAAGGCAGTAAGTTTGAAACATTTGAAACAGATAGGACAGTTGGAGCTCAGGTCAGCCTCCGTCTTACCATGCGAAGGGAAACGAGGGATTTTGCGGGAGGTTGGACGAGTGCCCCGAGATGTAGCTGAGAAGGCTTCCCAGGCGTTGCTGCTTGCAGAGCGGCAGCTGGATTCACTTCGCGGGGTCTTCAGTGTTTAGGCTGCAACTCTTGCCGCTTTCACGTCTTGTTATGTATGATAAATGCATGCTTCCTGAAATCAGGGAGAGTCGGGATTTTAAAAATTTCAATTTTAAATTTACTTTGTAAAGTTTTAGATTTACATATAATTTTTAAGAAAAGTTTTTGGGTGTGATCTGCAAAGGAAAAAAGGCAGTGTTTAAAGAACCCAAAGACAGCAGTAAGGATATCTGAAGTGGATAGGAAAAATGAGAAAGCAAGCCCCAAAATACGGTTTAGAGAAAAGTCGTTGCACGGGGAACCCAGATTGTTTTCCCTCAGGGTGGTGAGAATTGAGTTGGAGGGTGGGGAGGCAGGGAAGTAATTATTTGACCAATTTAGTGGTATTGCAGAGCTAAATCATAAAGCTGGTATACATGATAATATTTCAGAAGGGGCTGGAATCAGTGATGTTTTGGTGGATTCTTTTACTTAAAGACTTTCATGTCTTTTTAGCTTGCCTAAATATATAACACTCAGATAATGGAATACTCACTGTAGGACGCAAGCAAGTGAGAATTACTAGTTTCAGTCTCCCCTGGCCTTACTTTCCTTTTAAACACTTGCTTTCATTTCAGGATTACACACAATAAATTAGCCAGTTAAAGGATTCTCTCTGGATGGTTTAGCCAACTGAGGAATGTAGAGTCTGTGCTTGCATACTCACGGTATCTTATCTAGATTTCAGGATGACAGTTCAGAATTAGTTTGTGGAGCTATGAAAACCATACTTGCTGTGCAATTCAAGGCCAGGGCAAAGGTGCCAAAGGTTAAATAACTGAATGGGTTGACCTACTGCTGGTGAAATTTGAAGAAACCAGTGGTTGCTACTATTTTATACCATTAAATGACAGTCCACTTAAGCTTGACTCTTTTTTGTGGACTGTTAAAATATAATTATTTTCATAAAGCAACACTTTGTATAAACCATACATGCAAAGCCTCGTGGGAGAAGAATGTGCTAGTCGTACAATCGATAAATATAGGACTTACAGGCTTACATTATGTTCCAGGCACTGTGTTAGTTGCTGCAGATACAAAGATTAAATTTTGTAAATATAAATATAAAGGCCCCTGACCTCAAGAACTGTATAAGCTGGTGGGAATATGCAAACAAATACGACTTGTTTTACGTATATATGTATGTATGTGTATGTGTGGATACACACATATATATAAATAGAAATAATCTGTATAGCCTGTTTGTCTCCAAAACATAACTGAGGCATCACAGCATTGCTGGAAGTTTGGGTAAAACTGTAATTATCAGAACTTCCGTTAAAGCAAGTTGAAAGGAATACTGTATTTTGATTAGCCACTTGAGATGGCCAGTGAAATGCCCTAGGGATCTGAGGCTTGCTGCAGTTAACTCTGAGGATTTTGTTTTGCTAGGTAGGGTATACAGGCCAGGGAGAGCTGTTTTGCCATTTCTGCTAAACAGCACCTGCTGTCTTCTCCAAATGAAATTTGAACACATTTCAAGAATGGTCTCTTGAGGAGGACTTCCTGAGACACTCACTTGTTTCCATATAACTACTCTTATGACTCAAAAGGATAACTTAGAGGTGCTTGAGCAAACTGCTCTGGAGGTTAGAAGGAACACTTCTGGGAAAGTCTCCGCCTCCCGGGTTCCTGCCTCAGCCTCCTGAGTAGCTGGGACTACAGGCACGCACCACCATGCCCGGCTTATTTTTTGTATTTTAGTAGAGATGGTGTTTTACCATGTTGGCCAGGATGGTCTCTATCTCCTGACCTCATGATCCGTCCACCTTGGCCTCCCAAAGTGCTGGAATTACAGGTGTAAGCCACTGCACCCAGCCGAGAGACTTCTTATAAGAGGTTTCTTTTGTGGAGAAGCTTGAATAGTTAACATCAGTTTCTGGATAACATCAGTTTCTGAAGATAGGATATTCCAGAAAATGTGAATGTCTTGCATTTCAACACAGAGACATGAGATCATATCCCGTGTTAGGGGTTATGAAAGGATCCAGAGCCCCAGAGGAGGGTGGGAAACAGGCAAAAGAGTTTGATTCTAAGCTGGAGATGATGCAGTGAATGAGGTTTTGAGCACGCCTGAACTGTTGGCCATGACGGTGGGAAGGTGAGTTGCAATGGAGCAACACTGAAGGGGGAAGTGAGGGAAATGGCCCAGGGCACTTACAGTACAGATCAGAATATGGAGGCTCCAGAGCTACTCAGAAATGTGAATGACTGAACTTCAGTAACTGGTTAAACAGAGGGAGGTGAAGGAGAGTGTAGCTAAGGATATCTCTTGGACAACCAGGTGGAGATGTTGTTTCATGGTGGCTTTATTTATTTACCACTCTAGTTATTTCTTGTCTGTATTTCTTAATTTGTAGGTATGTGTGTTTAAGGAAAAAAGGGAAGTCATCTTGTTAACACTTCTGCCTTATCATAGGAATAAAGATAAAAGCTCAAGAATGCAGCATTTTCACTAAATCAGCAATACCTTTCCTGGGCTGTGCCACAATAAAGGTCAGCATTCCTTACAAAAAACTCAAAGTCATCACCCAAGAAATGCCCTCTATGTTGTCAATCAAGCTTTCAAGTAAACAAATACAGAGAAGGAAGAAAGGAAGGAAGTAGGGAGAAAGGAAATATGAAGGGAAAGGGAAGGAAGAAGGAAAGAAGGATAGGAATTTGATAGAAAAACAAAGCAAATACCTAAATTACAGGAAAACTAAAGAATTAAACAGCCAAAAGGAAGGAGGAAGCAAACCCAAGTTCATCTCCTGAGAGGTTGATTTAAGAGGTCAAGTGTTTCCATATGAAACGCATACTTTAGCAAAACTAGACACACCCAGAACAGGAGGGGGGCTAGTGAGTGGGGAGCCAGAAAGAGAGAGAGAGAGAGAGCGAAAGAGAGAGAGACAGAGAGAGAGAGAGGCTTAATACTGGACTATTGCCATATATTTAAAAATAGGGCTTAAGTAAACACTTAAGGCAAATCAAATCGAGAACATGAAATTCAAAAATAAAAAATTGCCGCGAGCACTAAAAGAGAAAAAAGATGAGGAGATCGACCAACTAAACGAGACTCCAAAAAAAAAAAAAAAAAAAAAAAAAAAAAAAAAACTCCTTGAATTCAGATTATTCATTTCACCAAGCACAATTAAAAGTTCACTCTCTTCTGTGTATATGATAAATGATTGTATGTTTTAAAATTTTCTCAATCCTCCTACTATAGGAGGATATTGCATATGTAAGCATTCAGTTTCTTCAAGAATCAGTGAGAAATATATAAAAATACTTGTATGGAATTGTAGAACTCTTCATGGCTTAGTGGTAATAAAATTCTCACGCAGCATTTATGATTTCTTTATTTTTTCTTTTACATTATATTATATGCTGAAATTGGAAATATTTGGTTATCTGTCAAATAATTTTATTATTATTGAATTTTATTATGGAATAGAATTATATCTCTTCTTTTGCTCTTTTCACTGCTTTAGTAGTAAATTTCCTCTACACCTTCTTTCGGTGGAAAGGAAATTTGACTGCTCACCCATCAGTATCCTTCAGTAATAAGAGAAAACCCAAATGTGAAGGAGACAGGAATAATCAGAGAGAAAAGATAGCATCTATGAGGTTTGCCTGAGAAAGTCCAGGATCTCTTCCAGGTTTAAAAGCACAGAAACGAGCCTGAATGAAAGCTTTGTACATTTCAGGGGACAATTTCTAAACAGTATGCTCTATAAAAACTGGAGTTGACTCCAGCTTGCTCAGTTAACTATTGTCAACCTTTTCGGAATGCTCATGAGGTCAGCAGGTTAGTCTTTTTCAGGCCAGTTATTTTGGCTTTTCTCTAGCCATAACATATGCCTTAAGTTTCTCTCTCTTAGAAATATCTGCCTATCTTTTCAAAGGGGATCAGAAAGAGAGAGAAAATGAAGACTATTTATCCAGTTGATGGTCAGAGAAAGATAATATAAAAAGAGTGGAGCTGGATCGCGTCTTTCAAATTTTATGACTTAAGAAAGTACTGAGGCCCATGGAGAACATGGCTGTAAATAACACGCAGGAGCGCCTACTTGAGGAAGAGAAGGCATGCAAGCATACAATAATAGCGAATATGCATTTACTTTTACTAAGTGTTGAATTTGGGGCTGAGGGCTTTCAATGTATTTTTCATTTAATCCGAAGAACCACTCTTTGAATGAAAGGTACTATTACCCTCTCCATTCATACAGAAGATTTATCAGAACTTCGAGAGGGTATTTTAGTTATCTATAATTGCATAATGAATCACCTCAGAACTTAAAACAATAAATATTTGTTATCTCATAGTTTCTGTGTATAAGGAATTTTGGAGTGGCTTAGTTGGGTGGTTTTGCCGCAGGGTCTCTCATGAGGTTGTAATCAAGATGTTATCTGAAAGCTTAAACCTGACTGCAACTGAAGGATCCCCTTCCAAGTTCACTCATGTGGCTGTTAGCTAGAGGCTTCAGTTCCCTAGTGTATGGGCCCCAGTTCCCCACCATGTGGGAATTATATTATAATTTCATGACTTCTAATCTCTGTGTGCTAAATGTTCTGAAGAAGAGCCTACTGCTGATGCCTTCATTCCTATATAAAGCTGCATATAGGCAATGACTGACATCTCAAGCTTTTGAATGGTTCTGTTTAGTAGTATTAGTAGTAATAATAGGTCCAGATTTACTTACTTACACGAAATTATACTTAGGATAATATGGTAGCTACTTTCCCTTAGAATGAAGGATCCAAGAGAGGAACTAAGCAGGAGGCTGAGTTGCCTTTTATGATCTAG